GAAAAGGAATTTGGATAAAATTATAAACTAGTCTTGTATTCTGTAAAAGAGTTTTAAGTTGAATAAAACAAAGAGCACACTGTTTGATTGTAATCTGTAATCAATATTTTTAAAAAAAAATCAGGATACTAGTCTTGAGATATGCCCCTGCAAAAAGAAGAGAGAAGAATCATGTGAGTTTTGGGAAACTGGGTTTTGCTGGAAGCTTTCACCACCATACACAGAATTTTTGTAAATATTGCTGGAAAGAAATCTGGTGTTACTATAATCACATTTTGTTCATCAAATATAAAACAATATTCCCCATGCTTTGTTAGCCAGAATAATCATATACTAACCACAGTGAGTTACCCTTTCTTATTAAAAGGATGATTTTTGAAAACCAAGGCAGGTTATTTTTGGGGTCCTTTGGAGGGGACTTAATTGTCCCAGCAATTTGGAAACTATTGGTATTTTCTTGATGGCCTCATACCTTCCTCTTTTTTCTTAACCAAATGGAAAGCTTGTAAACCTAAGTCCATTTGTCAGATCAAAGTACCTATCACTAGTACTTAGCTGATATCATAGGTTGCACAAAAATCATCTAGCCTTCAACAATCTATAAGCAACAATATCTGGAACTAGGGACATAATTTCATGGTTCTAATGTAAATGGGAAAAATCATATTGAGCCAAAAGCCAAGTAACAAAATCAATGCTTGAGGTGAGAAAATTTCTGGGATTTAGTAAGGACCTTATAAAAATGTAAAGATTAAAAAATATAAAAGCATAATGAGACTAAGACCCTACTTAAATTTTGGACTCTATCTTCTTTTCCTCACCTTAATCTCAACCCTGAAGGAGAAAAAGACATAAAAGGAGACTCCATGAGGGAATTATAAAATAATATTATAAATCATAAAAGTTTCTAGATTAAAAAATATGCTAGTTGTTATCTGGAGAGAAGTCTCAGTAGTTAAGTGAGTTATTGCTCTTGCAGAGGACCCTTATTTAGTTTCCAGCTCCCACATGGTGGCTCATAACCATCTGCAACTCCAGTTTCACAGAATCCTCTGCTTTCTTCTGACTTGTGGCAGGCATGTATATGGCAAAACACTCATCTACATTATATAAAATAAATATACGAGGAGGGTTCCTATTGCAGAAGCGTCTCATCTGTGCATTTAATTCTGAGGCCATATTATCACTTTTTTTAGTGCTCCACATACATGTACCAAACAAATACTTTAAATATGTATTTTGTTAGTATATATCATAGGGTGCTAAAAGTACATTTTGTTTGTGAAACTGGTTGTGAATAATCCATTATAGAACCAAGAAAAATGATCAGTTTTTATGACAATCTTGAGTAAAGTCACCTGACACAAGTCATTTATTAATTTTAGGGAGTTCAGTTTGTCTAACGTTTTACTCTGTCTTAGCTAAACATAAATACAATAATATTGCCTGAAAACATTTTATCTTTTTCCAATTTGAATGAACTTTATTCATGTCACATGCCTTACTGAATTTGGTAGGACTTTCAGTTCAGTGATAACCAGGAGATGTGAAAGTTAATCTTATTGCCTGGGAGAAAAGCTTTCACATCATTTTATATGTGTGTGACTATAAAGCATAAGGTATATTCATATATTATATCCATGCTAAGAATACAACATATAATATATCTTCTCTGTTATTGCAATATATTGATCTTTTTAAACATTCATATTAATTATGATATAATTATATAGATGTTGATTCATAGATTCATTAGATTAGTATTAATTTATTAATATATTAGACAGTCATGATTCCCAATTAATGCACGGGAGGAACTTTTTCACACTTACTGAGAAATTTTGTAATTGATGTTGATTATTTGAGGTTTTCAGAATTTCCATTTATTATAATAACATAAAATCTTTTCTCCCTGCTTTTGTGATCAACTTGAAGTTCACGTCTAAGGTGTATGACATAACATATTTTCTTTCACAATAAAGTGTTACTCATTTTGGCCAACATGATTAAGTTTCCTGTATACACTTTTCAGGCTTTTTTTGTTTTGTTTTTCATTTAGGATTTCTGCTTCTTAATGCAACTAGGATAAGCATGCCTTAGAAGGTGATTTAACTTAGGCATAGCACGTTTTATAAACATGATTTGTTAATGCCATGTACTTTGGCGAGTACATGAATATTATATTCTGCCACACTTAATCAGTCTAAGTGTTTGATTTCTTAGGTGTATTGATTTGTTTATTTATTCTAAAAGTAAAGAATTTCCAAGTATTATTGTTACAAAAACTAAAAATAGCCATACATAAAGAAAAAGTGCAAGTCATATTCAGTTGTTTTTTTTTTTTTAACATCAGATCTGTTTTGTTATGACACAATACTGACGGGCTCTGCGGAGAGTTCAAGAGCTGTCAAGTTAAAGGCCTGAGCTCATTTTTGTCTCTTCTAAGATTTAAAAGATAAGAGCCATTCCTGTATAAACCGGAACGCAAATTTTATATTATCTGGAAGAGAGTCTCTGTCTAAATTTAATTAATGATGATGATACTTCTGACTTACTTTCTTTTCTTTCACAGGAAAATACTTTTATTTTATAGGCAGACGATTTTAAATGAATTTTCAGTCACCCCCAAGCATTTACAGTCTATATTAAACCTGCTTGTTCTTTTAGAGTGAATTAGTTGTATGTTTGTATAAAAGCCAAATGACTACTCTGTGCTAATTACACAGAAACTAATACAGTCTCTTCCTTCCCAAGTTACTTTAATGAATAAGTAGACATCATTTCTAAACATTTGCACTTTTTTTCTGATAAAATTGTAAGCTTCTAATTTTGCAGCTTTTAAAGCTCTGGAATTATAAGCAATGCATTCTCTGTCTTGTCTTTCTTTCCCTTCCTCTCTCCTTTGCCTCCTTCATACATACTTTTCTTTCTCATTTCCTTTTCTCCAGTTTTCTCCTGCTTGTCACCTCTGCTTTTTCTTTTTATCTTGTTCTTTCCCTCACCAAATCATATTTGTTTCTCCCCCTTCCTCTAAACATTTGTAGGTAACAGTACAGACGAGTTGTGTTCACACGCACCAATGCATGCATTTATGAACACGCAATCTTTTAGAATCCTTTATTCAAAGGGAGAGTGAACTTTACTAGCATGCATGGATTTTCAGAAGCTGTCCTTAAGATGAGAGGAGAAAAGTTTTCTGTCTTTATCCTATGTATCACTAAACAGGAATCACACTTAAGTTTCACCTAATTAAAACCATTGGAGTCATAATGCTATTTATAGCGACACTAGTATTTTCTAACTAACTTCCAGTTTCACTTTACTCTTTTCCTTTATTCTTAACATACTGGACTCTGTCATTCTGAAGCCTTTTGAGATTATTATATTTACTTTTTTTCTGGCAATAATAACTAACTGGATACAGATTTTCACCATCTTAAATAACAAACTCTATTTTTTGAAGTTTATACTATTCTCAAGTTTGTGGATACTCTTAGAATCAGGCAGTGCATTTGTAAAAATTGTGCCATCTCTTTAGTTTATCCATATTTATTTTACTAGGAGGAAAAGTTTCCTAGAAGCTGTTAGTTTGTCATTATGGGAGTAAAGTGAAGATGCTCCACTGAATCCTGATTCAGGTACAAGATGATGACAACCGCAGGCCTCTGATTGTTCTCTAAGTCCAGTTAGAGTGAAACATGAATCCACCCAGTTCACCTAATGTTGCATGTAGCTTACAAAGGCCACTGTGATAATCATCAAAATAAGATGGTTACAGATTAGAAAAAATGTGAGTCTCTTTTATAATCTCATTATAGGCAGACAAACTTTAAAATATTTCCATCAATTTTTCTCAACCCTTTTTAATTTTTACCAGTAACACTTCCTATAGAAAAATAAATTCAATTGTTGCATAGTAAGCAAAATAAAAACAAAGGGAAATGAAAAACCCCTACTCTTTTTAACTAGCTTCATTGATAAAGAAATCGTATATTTCACTGCACTGAGCCTTACCTTGGCCCTCTTGTTTCATGGGTTGCATGCTCCGCATGTCTGATACTTGTATGCTGGACGGTCTTGTACTAACCCATCGCTGCCCCAGCACCTAACTGTGTGATATGAAGGAATGTAGAAAACAGGAGAAGCATTGTCACTGAGTCAGCTGCACGAAGAAGTAACGCGTGTGAATGTACAGTATCGGGAAATCTATGAAAGATCCAGTCTATTTCTCCCAAAAGACTCTGTTCCAAGATACAAGGAGAATTCAGTTCTTGTTGGCAGGCCTCCATGTCAGTTTGGAAGCAGTAAAAAACGACAAGACAGGCTTTTCAATGTCTTTACCCTTAACACTTAAGTAACTTTAAACATTTTTTATTTCACCCTGTCTTAAAGACCGAGAAAGTGCTAGTCATTCCCAAGGGATTGTTTGCATCTAAGTTTTGTAGTTGGGATGTAGTTTAAGAATGAATTAAAAATGAATTCAGCCATTCATGACATGCTGTATCTGTTCCGAGTAAAATTTTGAGGAAAGGCCATCTATCTTTTAATGGAGCAGATGACTTTACATGATATTATACCAGGAACGGCATAGAATCCCAGCAGATGATGCAATTATGTATAAAAATGAGTGTTATTAAATAATGCACACTTTTAATATGGAGAAATTAGGTCATTTTCCCACTCCTCCCACAAATATTCAATCTTAATATCTGTGTAATGAAACAACATAGATAGTGTTATCCATCCTGGTACTAATGGATAACGCCAGTTATGACAGGTTCATTGTTTACTTTAACAGGTAATTTGTGGACCGGAATCATTTAATTGTTCTGAGTACATAATTACATGTCAGCAATTTCCAATTTAATTAAAATGTACAAATCTGAAGATTAAGGGAATTTTTGAATTATTAATCATTTTTCCACTAGGAAATCTTGTTGCTCTGCAGGAGATTTGTCCAGTGTACAACTATACGTATTTTTTTTCCTTCTCGTTCACAGACAGACAATTTTCCCGCAGAGCCCAATTACATGGGCAGCAGGCAGCAGTTTGTTCAAAGGTAAGGCCTATTAAATAACTTTCTCGGCTTCTCCATTTGCATTTGTGTCAAAATTGCTTTGCAAGAGACTACACTGCAGGTTTAAACTGGTCGAGACAACACTCTCTCCTTTTTTTCTTTATATGTATTTCAGTAGCTCCACGTTTAAGGACCCAGAAAGAGCCAGCCTGAGAGACAGTGGGCACGGGGACAGTGATCAGGCTGACAGTGACCAAGACACTAACAAAGGCTCCTGCTGTGACATGTCTGTTAGGGAGGCACTCAAGATGAAAACTACTTCAACTAAAAGTCAACCACTTGAGCAAGGTGAGTGATGCCTTCCAGTGCTTCCCACGTGTAAAGCTTAAGCCATCTGCATAAGCCTATTGGTACTAGCACAGCTGTTTGTCACAGTGGACTAGACTGTTGATAATCTATGAGAGAAAAGTGTGAAGCCCATGGTGATCCTCAACTGCAAAGCTTTTCCTTATCACAGACACAACGGGCAGTGCCCATGGACCTTCTTAAAATGGGAGCTTGTCTCTTCACACTAGGTCTGATTTTACAGATATTTCCTAACCTGGTCTAATTTGGGTTTGACTAACAAGGAATAGTTGGCGTGCACCATCTTAATAATTAGGAACATTATCCTATCATTATATATTATTAAAATTGGAAAACAATTTTAGATTAAAGAACTTGATACGGATTTTATATTTCTTATCCATGCTGGCTTAATTTTAACTTTGATTATACTTTCAAAATAGATTTTCAAGAATGCAATAATACTTGAGATTTGGCTGCTCTGAATTTACATTTATATGTTCTCGTAGACATCAAATACACATAAATTTGTTTACACTGATATAGATGAAAAAGAAATATAAGGTATTATGTATGGATTACACTTCTAAATGATTATCTTCAGTACATTTCATATAACTTCATAGTAATTTTGATGTTTTAGTTATTTCAGATACTATAAGACATTTGCTAATGATTCCTTCACAGACAACTAAGATACTCTCCTGTGTAAGACAATGTAGAGATTTTAATGCTGTTTTATATACATTGAAAAGAATTGTCCATAAATAAAATTTCATAAATATATGCTAATTAAATTACTTAAATATTGGTCTTCAAGATATCAACAATATTTATGTCTGTTTAAGATATGCTAGCATAGATCCTTCTAGTGAGAGAGAACACTTAAGGGCATGTAGCTTCCAGATCATTAGTGGTGGTTCTTGCAAAATAAGATTTTGTCTGTATTGCAGTATTTAGGGATTTTTCAAATCATAATGAAACTTCAATATAAACATGCATTCACCTACCTGTCAAAATGTCTATGCCTACTTATTTAGATACATTCAAAACCAAAGGAAATGCATATTCAGCATAGAACAAGAAATAATTGTTCGTTCCCCAAAATGTTATTGTATTTAAGGATGAGCTCACATAAATCCTGGTTTAAATAATAAGTTTTAGATGAATGGCTATTTCTACGTATTCACCATAACAGCAGGCTGGGTGGAGAAACAACACTGTCTTAAAACCTCTTCTCATTAGAAGCAAATGGCACACTTCCTAGAGCCATGGATGATTACCTGAGGACACTTTAATGGTGATGGTAGACTACGTCTCAACAATTTATATAAACATTTGAGGCACATTTTACTACTGGATTTCATTATACGAGTACACAGCACAAAACTGACCCATTTGCATGTGTGGTGAATAAGGAGTTCAAGAGATAACACTGGAAATGTAGTTTTCAAGGTGATAAACACTAAATAAAGTTCATTTAGGATGTGACATATTTGTAAGGTATTTATTAATAATAAGCCTAACAAAAAACACAGAAACCACTGAAAGCATTATCTCTGATTCCTTTCTTAATCCATGACAATAGTGTATTTGGTATATTTTCTCATATAGAAAATGAAATATCTAGCAAATCATGTCTGAAAATATAAATTATATTAAAATACTGCCTTCAATTTCTATATCAAAAAATAATGCCTTAGGACTATGACTTTCATTCTTAAAAGAAGGTCCAAGTAAGTACTCATATATTTCAATAACCATTACTCATGAAACAATTGTTATGACAAGAGTGAGGTGGCTGATAGTATGTCTCTTGTAAGGAACGTCATTTGTACACATTGCGTGAAATTCACAGGAAAGCTTCACGATCTGTAAGGTAGACTTAGGAGATCTGTGATTTATGCAGGTGAGAACACTGACTTGTTTTAAAATGATAATAAGTTTAGCTCTAATATTTCCTTTATTTGTTCATCTATTCATTTCTTTTATTTGTTACTTTACTAAATATCTATTTTAATATAAAAATGTTTTAAAATATAATAAATGACCCTGGATGCTGACTGCAAATAATCATATGTAATAGCACAGCTGAGATCTCTCTCTTCTCAATCTATCTTATCTGCCTGTCTCTCTGATGTATATGTATGTCTGTTTTTCTTTCCAGCTATTTAGATTCAGAGAACAGAATTAGAATTTACTATGTTTTTACTACTAAGCATATATAATGGAAACTATATTACAACATAAGACAATTTGACCTGAAATATCTTTGAAAAACATTCTCCTTTTATCTTACATAAGAAAGTAAAAGTTATTAGAATTTATCAACTTGTTGAAGAGACTAAAGTTTAATAATAGGATTATATATGAGCAGAAGAGGTATATTTTCTATAAAACTATTCCTCTAAATGGAATAAATTTGTTTCTGTGGCCATTTTAATTCATGTTGATTGATTTGATGAAGTATCAAAAAAACATTAATAAATAAGTTAATACCTGAGTTGATGCTTGCTGAGCTAGGGAAGGAAATCAGAGAACCTGGTATGCACCGATTGAGCATGAGACACTCACTTTATTTATTTAAGTATTATCCATTTAATCTTATGCATTTATTTTCATAGCACTTACCAATAGCTAAGTCTTACTGATCACACTGATGAATGTGTGTACTTTTGATGCATGCCATTCGTAAACAATGAAGGCAGAACTTGAAGGAAAACTGTATAGGACATCAAAAATACACTTTCAGAGCCGTCATTTTCATCTGTGTTTCATACAGTTTACATGATGAACACTTTATTCAGAAGAAATTGGGAACGCTGGGCAAGTATATTGTTGTTTTCTTGGTCAATATATTCTGCTAATTTAATTGAAAAGCATCACGACAGGCAGTGCCACAAATACTTGAGTGAACATGTGTAGAAGACAGCTTTCTTTACTAATGATGACAGCCATGTCCAAATAACGAACTCATGAAGAGTTCAAATATTAAATCCTAATTTTCAGTACACCCAATAATGTCTAAAGAAAACTAGAATAGAAATTACATAAAAATAACTTATTTACTTCTTTGTCTTACAAAATTTATGATATTACTTTATGTGACTCGAGTTAAAAATCATCACCATATTTTAATTTATTTTCTTGTGTACTTTTCGTTGGATTATTTTCTTGTTTAAGGGATGTATCCTTAGAAAATTAACATTTTATTTCTTAATTATATTATTTCAAACTCATAAATGAAAAGAAATTTCAAAAAACATTCTTCATACTTTCAACGATAATAATGATTTTCTTTCTGAGATGACTTAGACTTCTTGAGATTTTGTCTTAATTAATTTAAATGATTCTTTTTTCTCCACTTTGATGGAATCAATTTTTTTCATCCATCCAATTCTGATAGTTCTGTGTTTTTGCTGCCATCAGCTTAATACCAAATAGAGAGCATGAGTATGTATTGCCCATTATTTTAGCAAAAATACTTGAAAGGATTCAGCAGCTAATTGAAGGTGTGATGTATTATACGGCAGTTGACGATAGCTTTAAGGATTTTATGTTACTAAAACCTCCAGGAGAAATAAGCTATTTTAGTTTTGTTTACCGCTTTAAAAAATTCTTAAAGAATGTACTTAAATTCTTTTTATTTTGACTGCATTTTGTACCTTCCTTCTGCATTTGTTTAATATATTTAATATATTTTTCACGTGCCCTTTCAGAACTTGTCAATCAAATAATACAGGTATACAAGTGAGGGGATGCATAAATGGATGACAGACAGATAAGCAATTAGGCATGCAAAACAAGCTAGTACAAGTTTAATAGCAAATCTGCTTAGTAAGAGCAGTAAATATTACTATTATTCTCAATAAGCCATTTTATGAAGAATAACAAGAAATTGACCAAAATACATCATTTTCCTTTCATTGATTAATATTTTAGTGTAAAATTACTTATATCAAAGGCCAATAAAGTACATACAGTGTTGGTTTTATTGTAAAGGAGAGCCACATATAGATTTGCTAATAATAAATCTCTTTCAAGAGCTTTTGAGGCAAATTTAGATTTATGTTTCACAATACTAGTCACTCTTTGAATTCTTCAAAGAAGTATTTACCTTTGAATTCTATCCATTAGACGTCTTATAAATGGCTTTAATGTTAAAAATAAGTTTTTTTTTCATCTCAAATGATTTGTAAACATTATCTAGAGGAGAGTCATTTTGTTTGGTTCCTGAGTAAATAAACGGATGTCTTCATAAACACTTGCTAGTCACGTGCCTGCCTGATGTAAGTTTTGAATTTTCCAAGGATAAACAATACATGTGATTTTTTTTTTATGACTCACTGATGCCAAATCAGGAGAAGCTATCAGAAAAGAATTTTGTTTTGCGATTTTATTGGGAACCTGCTCTAGAAGTGGCAGGGTCCACATCACAGAATATAAGACCTTGTTGGGAGAAGTCCAGCTGTACCAGGTATCCAGTTATTCTTCTGCTTCCTAGGTGCTGTTAGGTTGTAATTTGTTCTCATAGCTCATTTTAGAAGACACTTCCACACGTTGTCCTAATATATGGATATTCTATCCTTTTTCTACTTATAGAAATCTTGCCTTGTTAATCTACAGTCTACTAAGACAGACCTCAAACCAGGCAGTGACGGTGCACACCTTTAATTTTAGCACTTGGAAGACAGAGACAGGCAGAGCTATATGGAATTTGAGCCCAGCCTGATCTACAGAGCTAGTTCCAGGACAGTCAGGGCTAAACTGAGAAAGTCTGCCTCAACAAAACAGAAAAACAAAACAAAACAAAATTTTAAAAAAGCAGACTTTACAATAGACTCCTTGATCAAAGCAATTATTAAAATTTCACAAAAAACTGAGACTAAAAATGTCAAATGTCTTCATGTAATACAATTTATTCCATTGTGCAAGCTTAATTGTGTCAATAATTGACTTTCCTCTCCCTAAAGAACATTTTAAAAACTTCAGAAACTAAAGTT